CCACCATCAATTTCTGGATCTTGATCATCTATTAAACTTGCCTCGGGTAAGACAGAAACCTAATATAAATTACACCCCTTCCCTAATATTCACCCCATAAAATACTGATCAGAGTGAATCATGCAACTGTACAATAAACAAAGTGTTTTACAGTTTAATTTAAAAAAATGCTCACAACCTAATGTACTATATTAATATCAACAAATTGTACATGCATACATGTGTCAAAAATAAATCAAATATTTTTGTTATGTTCCATTCAGGTATATACAGGCCTAAATAACGTTATATAGGTCCCCATTCAACTTGCCAGGATTTATAGCATGCCAATAACTTACATCAGTTACATGTAAACAAAAGTTGCTTGTCTGTAATGACAGCAGAATGGACAGGTCAACTGGTGATGTTAGTGGAGTAATTCACACATGCTAAATCAAATAGATTGATTTAAAACTTGCATGAATTAATCCTTGTTACAATAGACTTCTTACTTTCATCTACCAGTATACGACAGGTGATGTTTCTCTTCTCACTTCTGTTCATAAAGCGCTTTTCTGACTTGGACCAAGTGTTGACTAAAACTTGAACACCATAGAGGAATCTTAAATCGGAATCCAAAGTGGTTTTTTTTGGGGGGGGGGGGTACCTTTTTTTTATTTAGAATAATGACAATTATTTAGTACGTTTTTTACTTATAATATGAAACTTGCGAAATCGTTCTCTGTGTTTTGTTATTTTTTTTTTGCCTGATAAGCTAAATAAAACGCAATGAAAGCTACACGCTGAAATATGTTATAGAAGTGGAAAATCTGGGCGATCTTGCATGGCTATATAATTATCTGATTATTGAATAGCTGCGTGGGCTATTACGATGATGTTTTGGGTGACTTTGTTTATAACACGGAATAAAGTCCCACGGAATAAAGAACTGAACACGTTCATAACACAGTTTTATCGTAGCTCTGATTTTACTTCTTAGTTTTATTTGTAATTAATAAGTTTCGAGAAAACAATTATATCGTTATAGTTTGATCGAAATATTTCCGTCCCTCCTTTTCCCTCTTTTCCCCCCTAAAATAAAAGTGATATGTTGTTAATTTGACATAAATGATACATCCAATTTTTTCTATACAAACATCATTCACGTTTACACGCACGTACCGCATACATGGCTATTTAGCCCAAAGAGGTTAACCCCCCCCCCCCAACCTTTTTCGATTATCTTTCTTAAATAGATTTTTGCTTTCAGAATCTTTTATTTTACGCGGTTGAATCCTCGAGAGCTCCTATTTACATGTAGAGCTATTAGCAATTAGCAAACATAACAATATAGAAGGGGTTCGGATATTTTCTAACCTTTTCATATTAATATAACAGAAAAACTGGACCCTTTATAGTTCTGGTCTAAATTTGCTTATTTTTATTCTTTCCGCAAACCAAAGTACACAAACAAAAACTTAATCAGTGAATTCTTTTGTAATCCTTGTTTTTACAACACATTTGTTCAAGACATCTATATCTTTCGAAGAAACCTGAAGACTATGAAAAATGACGTCCGAAAATTAATGTGAAAATAAAGAAAAAATAATTAATTCAGCATGGCAAACGCATTAGATCGCATAAAGCACCCCTTCCCCTAGTCTTATCCTATATGAACACATCTGCTACACATCGATGAACTTACTATGTGTATATATCTGCTATCAATGTTCACTTCTGGAGAAAGAAAATACTTTTATTCAAGTTATCAACAAAAATCGCGTCGAAGAAATGATATCAGACATAGACCAAGAAATAAATTCCAGTGAAAACCCAGAGAAAATTGTCAACAATATTGTAAATGAACTAAATAAAAATTATATTAATGCAGCTAAACAAGCTTTAGGAGTAATTAAAGTGAACAAAAATAAAACGACTAAAAGCATTCATAAAAATAATAAGCCATGGTTTTCTACAGCTTGTCACAAAGCGAGAAAAAAATACCGAAATAGCAAAGTTTATTATTTCAGGAAACGTTCGCAAAATGCTAAAGAAAATTATAAAAACAAAGAAAAGGCTTATAAAAAAGTGTTAGACAGAGAAATAAATAAGTATAGTGAAGAAATGAGCAAAAAGTTACAAAATATGCGACTCAAAACTCCCAGACAATATTGGAAGATATTGAATAAAAACAATAAACAAAAAAATGCAGATCAAATCGATATTGAAAAATTATTTAACTATTTCAATGAGTTAAATAAGGCACCTGAAATACCAGAGAATATAGAAAAGATGCTAGATAATGAAATTAAAATACTAGAAATAGAAGAATTGAATCATAATCTAAACAAATACATCTCGCAAGATGAAATACTTAGTGCTGTAAAAAAAAATTAAAAAACAACAAAGCTTCAGGCGAGGATAAAATAAGAAATGAATATATAAAATCATCAATACAAATTATGCTCCCACTTTACGAAAAATTGTTTAATTTAGCTTTTTCAACAGGTAAATTACCCGAATGTTGGCTTGAAGGAGATATCCTTCCAATATATAAAAACAAGGGAGAGAAAAACAATCCGCAAAATTATAGACCTATAACAATTTTAAGCTGTATTGGAAAACTTTTTACATCCATATTAAATGATAGATTAAACGATTTTTCAAACGAATATGAAATATTGCAGGAAAATCAAACTGGTTTTAGAAAACAATATTCAACTGTTGATCATATATTTTCCATACATATTATATCAGAATTATTGAAACTAAATAAGAAAAAACTTTTTTCTTATTTTTCATAGACTTTGAGAAAGCATTTGATAATGTATGGCGAAAAGCTCTTTGGTTTCAGAAATCAAGCAACAGCTATACTTTTTAACTGGCATTCAGTCAATACATTGCCTTAATTTCTTTGAAGTAGTATACTTATTATTTTGTGATATTTAGGGCCTTTCATGAAATGCGGGAAAACAATTAGAATCGCATTGTCTATCCATCAACACTTTGTTTTTACACGATAAGTCAAACAATTTTTAAATTTTGTACAGAAGTTAATTCTTTACAATCATAGGAGAACCTATACTTGTGAACAGTCTGGGTAATTGGGAGTGATCCAATTGTTGATAGCAGATTTAATCTTATTTAATTTTTTTTAATAATATAAATTGTTTGAAAGTTAGCATGAATAAAATATTATCAGCTGGAGATGTAAATGGAAGGATTATTTGTAGGTTGTACATGTATGAACATCTCAACTGACAAAACCAGAAATTAATCTTTTTTTTTTTAATTGTTTTGTTTTTCCCCTTGATTTCTTCTGCTGCCATTTTCAACATACACTCATTTAGGTGCTGGTTCCAAGGAAACAACTGAATCAATGCTGTTGGCTTAAATATGATTTTTAAGTTAACCTAATTTTTTTATACTGCTCTCAAATGTTATGCTATTGTCAGTGCATAACGAACAAGTGTAGATGCTGGAATTCATGAGAGTACGTGATAATGAAATCTTTCATCTGCCTTTTTTAAATTTCTAATTTTATTTCCTTATAATATTTAAAATCAAAAATACATTACATGTGTTTACAATTTAATAACAGGTATTGGGGATAAAAATCTTAAGTTGTGGATCCAAAGGAAGAGGAACTTTTTCTAATCACATACAATGTATGTATTGATTTAATTTGAAGAAAAAATATTCAAATATAGATCCAGAGAATTTTGTGGTGGATCCAAGGGTCTAATCTTTTGAGAGGGGGATCCAAGGGGAGTGGGAAATATATTATGAATTAAAAAGTTTGAGATATTAAAAGTATTTTATATTTAAGAGTAAATGATTTTGATATGTATGTTAAATCTTTGAATAATTGAGAACATCAGGCATGTCTAATGTTCATGCATGGCTGTTGATCGAAAGGGAGAGGAATGCAGCTTTATCTGATAATATGAAGTTTTGTTTTAAACATAATGTCAAAGTTACATAACTTTAAGCTCAATATGAGTGAGTTATATACATGTAGCTCCAAAGAATTAAGTGATGGATCATAGGATCCAGGTTTTTGAATGAGGGATCCAAGGGGAGTGGGGAATAATTTATCAATTTAAAAAAAATAGAAGAGATATTCATGAAAGAAAATTTGAAATATAGCTATGTAACTCTTCTGTATGGGAGATAAGAAAATTTATCCTTTATATGAATGAGTCATATATTATATAAAGGTTTGAATTATATATAGATTCAAAGAATTTAGTGGTAGATCCAAGGGTCTATTCTTTTGAGTGGGGGATCCAAGGGGAATGGGACATAATTTTTTAATTAATTTATAAACAACGTTTGCATATCCGTATATTTGAAAACAAAGATATTACATGTGTTTACAATTTGATAACAGAAGGGATCAATTAAATTTTAATTAAGTTGTGGATCCAAAGGAAGAAGAACTTTATCTAATCACATATGTATTGATTTAATTTGAAGAAAAAAAAAATTCAAACATAGATCCAGAGAATTTTGTGGTGGATCCAGGAGTCTAATCTTTTGAGAGGGATCTAAGGGGAGTGGGGAATATTTTATGAATTAAAAAGTTTGAGATATTAAAAGTATATTTATTTTAAAGTAAATGATTTTAATATGTTAATCAGGTCTCAAGAATATAAATGTTTTATGTTCAGGCTGTTGATTGAAAGTGAGAGGAACATACCTTTATCTGATAATATAAATTATTTTTTGATTTCAACATAATGATATCAAGTACATAACTTAAGCTTAACATGAATGAGTTAAATAGCTCCATAGAATTAAGTGATGGATCCAAGGATCCAGTTTATTTGGGGATCCAAGGGGAAATTTGAAGAAAAAAAAGAAATATGAAATAAATATTGAAATATATATAGGAATGGTACTCTTCTGAATGGGAGATAAGAAAGTTTATTCTTTATATGAATAAGTCAATATATCTATGTAACATGAATCATACATAGATTCAAAGAATTTATTGGTGGATCCAAGGGTCTCTTCTTATGAGTGGGGGATCCAAGGGAAGTGGGACATACCAAGGTAATTTATGAATTAATTAATAAACAGTATTTGTTATCTCTAAGAACAAATGATTTTGCTATACTAACAAGGTTTCAAAAATGTTGAAAAAAAAAATGAGAGCATGCAGACATGTCTGAAATTATTATATCTTGGAAATAAGTTTGAAAATAAGACAAGACAATAAATAATCTATCCTTCATTCCAATTCTCATGAAATCAAACAAATATAATGAAGATTACATGGGGTTTTTTTTGCCCTAAGCAACAAAAATGTGGGGGGAAAAAACCCACATGTAATTTTTAGTCATATATGGGTTTAAAAACCCACGAAAGATTATATGGGTTTATTTCCCCCATGGGGAAAATTTTAAACCCCATGGGGTTTTTGTGGGGGTTTTCATGGGGTAATTTTAAGTACATGTTTCCCCATGGGATTTTTATCTTTGCCACTTAATATCTCAAAAACTAGCTAAAAATGTTGGATTTTTTATTTCATAAATCAATTTAAATATAAAAACCCCACCATTTAAAAAAAATCCTAAGATAATAGCTTTAAAGGAAAAGGGTGCGCAAGTTCGGAAAAATGTCCATTCCGAAGTTGTCCGTCCCACTGTTTATAGGCAAAACAAACACAAAGTCGTAGATCAAAAATATATTAAAATTCCTGATCACATTATGCAGTGTGTACGCCTCTGTCTGATACATGTTGTGTCTTGTTCTGTTTTTTATTATACATTTTTATCCTCAAAAAGTGACAAAATGCTTTGCTCGTACAGATAAAAATTAGTATACTTGTAGGTTATTACTCGGGTTAATTTATATGTTATAAATGTACATGTTCATGTCACAGTTGTATGGCGCACTGATAGAATCACTCGTTCTTTCTTTCTCCTTGAGTGTTTATTTTCAATTTAGTTTGGTCAAAATGAGGCCAGTCTTATAATTGCTTGTGTGCACAGGAAGTTGCCCAGTTTTATTATGGGTCATTTCGTTCCAGCTCAAGTTCTATTTCTTCTCTCAAACTTGATATATTCGTCTGTTGTAAATTAAAGACATTATTAAGCGATCTTTTTGCCAAAGACCATGCACTCTGGATAGGAACTTTTTACACCCCCATACTTCAGGGGCCTGTTTTACAAAAGAACTTACGATTAAGACCAAAAACTAGTTGATTGTAAAATTTTGCAAAATTAATGATTTTGTTTAAAGTTGCTGGTGTAAAAATATCTTACTACATCCCTTTTAAAAAGATTAAAACCATTTTCAATATAATGTAAATTAGAAAGGTAGGTAAAAGTTTTGGACTCTGTGTGAAAGTAAAACTAGGTTGTAAATAAATGATTTCATTAAAACAACTGCCCTGGTTATGAAAAATGAATTCATGCTCATTCTCCCTCTCCCTTCTTTCTCTCTTCGCAAAAAGATCGTTTATTTTTCTCTCAATAGATCGAAGTGTTAAACGATGAAAATGATCACATTTTGACTGATAAACATGCAAACATCTTGCAAATATGCAATGGAATTTTTAAAAAGGAATACTGGCCTGTTTGAAGATCGTATATTTATACAAGGTTTTAGCCATGATTATGATATTCTTTAAAATTAAGCTGCAAAATGACATGATAGTTTGTAAACATTGCGTAGCTTTGAACAGCGACTGGGCCTTACTGACGTCATATGCTAAGGGAGATAAGCAACGTTAGTCAAAGTGAATTTTCACGACTGAGTAATTTTGATCGACTGTGCTGTAGCTATCTTGCGTAAAAAATCCAAAAAACAATTTCAGTCTTATTTTACCAGCTCAGATGAACTTATTCCAGTATGTAACTCAATATGTTCAGGTAATTGTCTCCTATGACCTTTAAGTGTGAGAAAATATAAAACCTAAATATTTAGATTTTTTTCAAATTGTCTATAACTAAGATGCTGTATTACAATTTTGCTTTCAACATAAGACCCTTTGATTTTTTTCACATTCACTTTCCATTTGTAAACAATTAAACTGAATTCGTTTTATACATGTTGTAATTCATAGCAGCTTAAGCCCTAATAACAGTCTCATCAGCATTAAAGAAAACATTTATTGTAGTTATTCCTTCTCAATGGCACTAGTAATACTTTGTACACATAATACAGCCCTAGATCCATTTTTTACTGCATCATGAATGCCTCGTATCACAGAAGTGTCCTGTTACGGCCTTCAAAAGTTTTATCAATTAATAATAATTATTAATTTTCATGTCGATGATTTTAGTTCTGCGCGAAATTTATAATACTGATTTTTTCCCAATTATCATGAATTGGCATGTGATTTGACTAGTTGAACAGTTTCTTGCGAGTTATCCTTTTAAATATCGACTCATCCATGACAGATACACATGGTCCAGAATCCATTAGCACGCAACTTCCGTGATAGGCAGGAACTTTGTTGTATTGTTGACCAATTCAGATGCATATACTTTTTACGACTATTTTCATAGTCCAGTTAGTTTACCATTTGGTATTTTTCTTGATGTGCGATCAAACCTTTTGAGATTTAATCTATGGCCAGACCAACATTTCCCAACAAAAGTTCAATTTTCTTGCATTTGGTGCATACTTTGTTCTTTTCTGGGCTGTGTTTGCTCCCATGCTACTGCTACTTGTTGGTATTCCCTTGTTTCTTCTGAAGGATTACTTCTCCTGTTTGCACCTTTCGTCTAAAACGATTTGATTCAAGACCAGAATCACCTTGTATGATTTGTGATTTGATAGATTTTCATATCTATATCATAAACTTTCCGAGAATTCTCGCAGTTTTATTTTTGATATGAATCCACTGTTTCACTAAAATTTTATTTGACCTGGCGAAATAATTTTTTAAACTCAACATTCTTCTCTAGATTCAAATGGTCTGTCAATTTTGTTTTCACTGCCTCATAGTTAAATGGTAACTAGACCACTCGTATCATTGTTGTACACAAAAAGTGTAGAGACCGTTATGTGATCATGTAATCCCAATTTTCAAATCGCTGGATCAATTTCACCTCATGTTGACCCGTTGAACTTTGATCTGAAAAATTAGACTTTGGAAATCTCGTAATCAAAATTAATATGAGCTCAAATAACTTAATAACTTTTTTTCTTGATAGCCAATTTACTGGTATAACTGGTAAGCAATTCTTTTCAGGTAAACTCTGATACAAAATAGTATAACGATTTTCTGGGAAAGTATAAACATTTGAGCAGTAAAAACGACCGAGTTCCAAATATAACACATAACTTTTCACGATATTTTAATATAAAAATATAAATGAATTCCTTTGATGCTTAATTACCATATCTTGGTTAAATAAGGTGTATCGGAGCATGACTTTTGGTCAAAACAAAATAACTATATAACATTTTCAATAAAAAATGAAGAAAACCTGTTATAAATTAAGGGCTTTTTTCCAGTCCAAAAGAAATGTATCCAGATCATGAATTGATAATTTGATGTTATTATTTTTTTTTTCCAGATGTCTCATGCACACATGAATTAAACAGTAACTTGAACATTCCCACAAGCGCTACAGGCTGCAATGGGGTCAGCACTTATGCATGTAACTCAGGATACAAGCAGGTTGCCGGAAACACACAACGTACATGTTACGGAAAGTTCTGGACGGGATACCCACTTGTCTGTTCTGGTAAGGATCCCAAAATTTATCTTTTTTATGTTTACATAAATTGAATGGTATGATTATAATATTGGTTTCTAACACGTTTTTAGATTCAAGTTCCTTTTTCTTTTTTCAGTTTCAACTTGCAAGATTGACATCCTTTTCATCATAGAGGCTTCCTCATACACGTCTTCTATTTACTCTGAATTAGTATCAGTTATTGGTGATTTGGTGAGGACTATGCAAATTTCAACCAGTAATATACAAGTGGGGGTGATATCCTATGACAACGCTGTGGACCAGAATTTCAAGTTTAACGCTTATTCTACGGCGGCATCGCTGGACACTGCTATAACGGCATTAACAATACCAAGCGCCTCTTCAACAATTAACCTCGCCGAGGCATTAACTGTCGCATTTTACGATTTTGTTAAACTGTCAAATGGGAACAGATATCAAGCATATAAATACTTTGTTATTGTTGGTAAATCAACTCCTACCAATCTCGGTTCAGCTATCGGAGTCAATATTCGAAAGGTGGCAAAAAATCAGGTTTTCGGAATTGGTAAGAAAATAAAATTTTTTGTATTTCTGTTGAGATAATTTCTTTTCTAATTCAGTATCTTTGAATAGATTTCTTACAAAGATTATATTTCCGGTCTATCATGCCAGGTACTGTCGAACGTAATTTTCTTTGGAGAAAACTTTTCAAAACATGTTCAAAATGCATCATTCTCTTTAAAGGATTGTTCTTCGACCTTATTCGTGCCAGCGTAGTCACGTAGTCAGATCCCTACAATATAGATAAATACATGTAATATCATTTGTTTTGTGGTTGATTCAGTTGCTCAAGAAAGCTGCTCAGTTCTTTGGCTTTTCTGACTGATATTTGAAAAAGGAACATAAACGTTTAATTTGTCGTTTCGGTAGCATGGTTATAAACTGATTACAAACCTGAAACTGATCTTTACAAAATGTAACCTTTCATTATGAGATTTACAGGAAGAGTCGTTTTTTCCGACTTTTTTTTAATTTGGGGTCTTTTGAAAAATATGCCAAAATTTTATAGAGCGCCTTTTTAAAAATGTCTTTATACGAATCCTTACATTTCCTGCACCTTTACTATCCTGGCCTGTCTAATAAGCATTGAGCGACCTAATACAATGTATATATATATATATATATATATATATATATATATATATATATATATATATATATATATATATATATATATACACAGTAAAACTTGTCTAATCCGGCGACCATTGGTTCCAATTTTTTTCGCCGGATTAGACAACATCCGGATTGGAGAAAATTGAACTGTTAGAGCAAATTAAGAATTACATAGATATAAACAAAGAGTGGTAAATGATCAAATGTGTCATTTTTTACGTTTCACTTGAAAAAATCGTCTATTTTGTTTCTTTTGAACTCTGTCCTTCAGAATTTTCATTTCTGTTTAAGTTTTATATCTATTGGACATTCAGTAAATTTGAAAATCGTTTAATGTTTTAAATACGCTTCAAAACCTCATCGTAGCTGTAAATATTATTTTGTTAGTTACCGATTCCTTATTGATTTCTTTCTTTTAAAATGAATATTTAGACACAGTATTTGTTTATTCCAAATGTTATAATGATTAGTGGACCAAAATCTTCTGTCGTTATGGTCGTTGTATACTAGCGACACAAAGGGAAGTAATTCGCATTGCACGTCGTGCACGCTAAACGAAAGTAGAAAGGAGGTCATGAATGTCTCCACGTTTTTCTACAGACATGCTACACGAAACTATCACCATCACTTTGCGAGTTTCCTCGCCGTACTTGAGCCATTGATGATTTTTTTAAAATCAATTTTGTTAAAATCTAAACTGTCGATACAGGATAGATCATTAACGGGACAATAATTACCCCATACGAGACTTCTCTAATGACCAGCGGGCACAGGTAAAAATAAGTGGCCGGATTAGAGGAGATAATTTGTACTAATTATGAGCAGTTAGTTCTTTAAACAGTGGCCGTTTTACAGAATAGGCAAGATCCGGATTGCACAACATTTATTAAACAAAAATTATAAAGAAAATTCAAGGGACTAAAATATTACGCCGGACTGAACAACATGCCGGAATGCACAACATCCGGATTCAACAAGTTTTACTGTATATATATATATATATATATATATATATATATATATATATATATATATATATATATATATATATATAAACTTCGTTATCTCGAACTCAAGGGGACCGAGAAAAAACTTCGAGATATCCGAGGATTTGAGATATCCAGGTTGAAATACTTAAAGAAAAAGGGGTTGGGACTTCCAAATCATTACAACATTTCCATGGTAATCGAGATATCAGTGTTCGATTCGAGATACCGAAGTTCAACTATATATATATATATATATATATATATATATATATATATATATACTTGTCAATTCTAACTTTAGGTATTGGCCCAACCACGTCTTTAGCCAATGATCTGAAATCGGCCGCTGGAAGTACTGCTAGATACGTCGAGGCAACCTCCCCAGCAGACCTAGCTACAAAATTCAACACAGTTCTTACAAAAATCGCCGTCTGTCCAACGTCTGCTTTTCCTGGCGCTACGTCAGTTGGTATGTCTGAGTATCATGGTGCTATTTTGTACACTTCTTAACAGAATATTCGACCTGCTATGTTATTTCATTCATACATATACATTAAAATATCTCCATCAGAGTTCCTCAGTCATATCTTTGTGTAATTTACAAGCCCAACATATAATTAATGATGTTGTGACTCTATGTGATTATACTTCAAACTTGAGCTCAAATATTGTTGTCATACAAAAGACCTTAGTCAGACAAAAGACCTTAGTTTTTTAATCTGTATGAAAGCTTGGAATTAAGAAAATTTCAATCACATGTATTTGGTCTTTTTTTTCAGCTTGCAAGCTCGACATAGTTTTCATTGTGGAAAATTTTAACCTGCGTTACACAAAACGATTTGTGGCAGAGTTAGTAGAGGATTTACCGATTTCTTCAAATGGCGTCAGGGTAGGTTTTGTAGTATTTGATAACGGAGCAAGAACCGAGTTTGGGCTCACTGCTTATACGAGTTCTGAGGCCGTCAAAGGGGCAATCGAAGGAATTTCACAGACGACTAGCAGCTATCATTATGTAGACAAGGGATTGATTCATGCCCGTGACTACGTGTTCACGGCTGCTGGAGGAGATCGTGCAGATGCTGTTAACTATTATGTCTTTATCGTGGGGCCATATTACAGTGACCCAATCACAACGGCAAGGATCATCCGAAGAAGTGGGGACAATATAATATTTGGCGTTCGTAAGTAAAAAAAAAACCTGTCAATTTCATATATATAGACACACACACACACACACACACACACACACACACACACACACACACATATATATATATATGATAAGTAGCTTGTGTTTAGACACGGGTTAAAAGAAGTTCCTGTGTACTAATATTTTCTTTTTAAATATTTTAGATCTTGGAACGAGTTACGTAACTACTTATAAGGAGACTGTTGGTTCCTGTGGTGACCACTCTAAATATACAAACTCAGCTACTTATGACAACTTGATCAACATTAAAAATACAGTAAAAGGAAAACTCACTACCTGTTATCAGGTTCCAGCATACACGCAAGGTATTTACATGTCAGTTAGACTTTACATGCCAAACTTGTTCGAAATTACCCGTTGTCTAGCTGTTTGTTTCAACACGTATGCAGTTGTATATTGGAGTTTACTAAAATGGTCATGGCCCAGCTGTGTTCTCGAATTATGGTCGCTATATTGTATTATTTATTATATCATAAGTATAGGTATAGGGGCAGTTAACGTTACTTCAACAGACTCGCTTTTAACCCGAAGCCCGAAATCTGTTGTGAGATATTGTATATAACTTAAAATACCATGTATTATAGCAACAATCAAATCAAAATCATGTGAACATCTACGAGGGTTTATCAATTAGTTCGTGGACTGGCTCTTTTAATTTAAAACTGCTTAAGGTATAATAATAAATTTCTACAAATTTAGATAAAGTATCCTTTTTTTCTATCTATAGAACAAACTATTGTCATTGCTTTTGTAAACAATGGTGTGCTCAGCTCTGCCCAACACTGGCCTCTCTTGGTCTATAAGGAACATTTAATAATTTCTCTCAGTTGAAAAGAAAATAATAGAGCTTTGCCCAACATAGAACATTTTACCAAGTGGTCGACTTGACTTCTGACCCTGGGGCCATAAATTCAAATTTTTGAAGATGCACCCTTGCTCATCATCTGTGCATTTAATTAAACTGCTTAATACCCAGGCACAGAGGAGAAAATTGTCAAAGAATTAAGGCATTTTCTTTATATTATCAATGAAATATGAAGATAACAAACGGTATTCTATCTCAAAAGTCCAATGAAACAGTACAAATTTGGAAAAGCAAACACGGACCTCAAAATTTAGAGGAGGGATCAGGTGCCATGGAGGAATGAGCACCCCCGCCGACTGGTCACACCCGCCGTGTGCTCCTTTTCATGATATGGAAAAAACGGAAAAATTGGTTCAGTGAAAAAACAATTCAGTGGGTGAATAATGGCCTAAAAAAATTGTATGAAAAGCGTCAGTCAGCATTTGACTTAATGATAGGTGTATGTGCTGACAAGGTTATTGTATAGACCATAAAACTTGCGAAATGATAAGGGTATATTGCTTCATAAGTAAGGGAGGATGACGATTGAAAAAATGAAAGTGATCACGTTTTTCATAAAGCTTTGTTGCTAGTTTACCATTAATGTCTATTTCTGGTAAAATATTATGCATTTTCACTATATAATCAATAGAACCCCGCCTAACACTAGAACCACTGACCCAGGGGTCATGAAATTAACAATTTTGGAAAGGTCCCCTTGCTCATTATGACCATGCATTTAGTTTGGCTAATACCCATGAGCAGAGAAGAAGATTTTTAAAGAATTAATGTATTTTCACTATATAACCAAATACAGCCCCTTCCCCACCACCAGAAACCCTGACTCTCTGGCCAAAAATTTGACAATTTTGGAAGAGGCACTCTTGCCTATTATAATTATGCATGTAGTTTATCTGCTAGATATACAGGGGGAGAGGAGAAGATTTTAAATGAAGTTATGCATTTTCACTATATGATCTTAGAGCCCCACCCTAACTCCAGAACCCCTGACCCAGTGGCCACAATTTTGGTTAAGGGCTAAATGCTTATTACAATCATGCCAACAGCCTGACAGCTTGATATCAAGGAGGAAAGAAGAATTTTTAAGATAGCATTAATTTTTATGGGTTTAACCCCACTCCTCAGATCCAAGGGAGGGGGGTGGAGGGCAGATTTGTGCATAAACCGCACAATTTTTGTTCCCCTTTACTCAAAGATGCTTTAGAATTAGCTTAAATGGTTTGGCGGTTCCAGAGGAGAAGCTAAAATGTTCAAATATTAACGGACGACGCACGACGACGGGCAAAAACAGATCGCAACCTGAGTGACTGAGGTGACCTAAAATGTCAAATGGGAAGTCATATAATGTCTTTTGTATTTGAAGATATTTTGAAAAATTGTCAAAGTTTCAAACTAAATTTTCAAAATACTTGAACGTTGGATGTTTTACGATCCATATAAATTTTGTAAGCACAGCCTTCAAGGTAATAATTTTAAAGCATTTGTCCACGAACTTTTTGATAAGCCATCGTACAAATTTTAAGTTCACGATAAATACAGATCTTACATGTATTTGTAAATATATCAGTTGGGATTCTTAAAGTGAAATATTTTCATTGCAACTGATAACTGACAACGTCAGAAACTAAAACTATTCAGATTCTTTGTCTTTTTCTTTGCCTACCCTAACAAGTGACTTCATTTTAAAACTGCAGCCTGTTTGGTTGCTCATTAATTTTAATGAAATGCTTATTTTTCCATGCATGGCAGTATTCACCTTTGTTGGGATTTTTTATGGACTGATTAATTTAAAGACGCACGTGAGCCACTACGCTCACTTGAATCATTTGGCCTAGTCGTTCTTCGAAGATTTCTAGAAGATTGCTTTTCCACTTTATTATTCCCCTATAGTATTCATATGTTTTGTTTACCTATAGTGTGACCTTACCCTAGCTCTGAGAGTATATGATAAAACCAAATTGAATCAAATTTTAAAACATAGATGACCTTGGTGATTTATATTGCAATTGGTAATATATACCTTTGAATCTGCTTACATTCGTGCGGATGACTTTTCTTCTTTGTTTACATAGTACATGTATGAAGAGACCCCCCGAATGCATGTTCTTCAGAAAACGTTATTGCAATCTCTAGCTAAAGTATAGTTTGCCTTCCAACCACAAAATGAAATTTCAAACCATTATAAAAAAAATTCCATGTTAAAACTAACCAAATACTGGGGGTGATGATTTTAAAAAGCTAGAATATACACTAATTTAGGATGCTTGCATTTTAATAGAACAATTACACTTCTTATGTGTCTACCAAGTTTAAAAACTGTTGAAAAATTTCACTCCTTCTTTATTGCATGTATCTCTCCTTAAAAGACAGCACGGAACTTCATTCATCATCAGATACTGCGGATATTTGTTTGTTCAAATCATGACCCTCGTTGGTAGGGTTAAACCTCAATATGTGATCAAATGTTTGCATAGGAACACCTAGAGAAAATATTTTTAAAAAATACTCTTACGAACAGCAAATAGCCACGATTAGTAATATTAGTAATAGATCGTTATATGAAAGAAACCTGAAGATGAGCAGACTAAAACTTGTTCATATCATATTTCTTAAAGGTAAAATTCGACCACAATAAGGGGAACGGTATTACTTTGAAATATATCTATTAGGAAAATCTTCTTTATTTTAAGTCTTCTTTGGAACAGCAGGACCATAATTTACCATTTTAATATGTGGGGTCCTTTTGATCGTGCAGATTCCTATTTGTTCAATTCATAGCTTCAGGAGAAGGATGAAGCCAGAAGAGGGATTTGAATTTTAGGATAGGATAGGAATATATACAAAAACCTTCTTTGGAATTTTTTTCTTTAAAAAAGCAGGGCTATGATTAATGATACTAATAGGAAGTTTAGGTTTAAATTTGTTCAAATCATGTCCTTGGGGTTATGATACGTCTACAATTGAAATTAGAGTTAAATGGAAATAAATATCAGATATTAAGAGCCATTCTCTGCAATGACTTAAACTTTTATAAAGGAGCTGTGGCACGCAAAGTCTCAGAATTTCTCCAAACTCTCTATGATAAAAGTCTTTGATACCGTAAACTCAAATCAGGCTAAAATGGGTTGCTACGTGTCATGGTTACCATAGCAACATGTCGTAAAGTTTGAAAAATGGCATTTTTCAACATGTTCAGAGTCCCACAGTGAACGTTTGCAGCAAAGCAAACAAGTGGCAATGACTGTTTCTGAAAGTTGAAGGCCTGATGTCTTAAATGCATGAATAACATGCCTGGTAAATCAACTATAACATACGTTACTATGGGAACAAAGTATTTAAAAGTAATAATTTTGTTCATTTAATATTATAAAGTCATACACTTAAGAATAAAAAAAAACAATTATAGGTTGAAATGCAAGCAAATAATAGACAAGGGATCTTTGTAACATATACCAAGGACGAAATATGATATTTCTTATAGGTTGGCAATGGTTGCCATGGTTTTAATACCACGAAAGGATTTTACATTTACTCTCTTAGTGTTTTAATCTTACCCTATCTTTTTAAAAAGCATATTTTTATCTAACTGATGATCAATTTTTAAATGCGTTGATGTGTCCCTAATTTTCACATTTCCAAAAATTCAATTTTAATTCTTTAAAAAGTGCGTTGCTATGGAAATAAGGCGAAAAACATGCATAAAAATCTGAAAAATACTCTGTTTCCTTGGATACGTATTCTTGTATGTAGATTCTCAAAACTTTAATGATTGATATATGTAAACAACTAACCTGACTTTCAATTTTGACTACCACCCAATCTCTAACTGGATGCAAAAAGCTGGCACATAGGATCTAATATTGACATAAAATTAACAAAATCGAACATTTTCTCTTCTTGGAAACCATAACAACAGTGTTGTATTTTTCAACAAACTTTATCAATATATGATATTCAACTTTAGTTCTACCAGATAAGTACTATTCAAGGTGATTCAAATAAAAAGTTTCTCGATTAAAAGGTTAGTAAATTTCTAAAGCAGCAAAAATATCACTTTAAACAACTAGTACGTTGTTTCCATGGTTACACTGCAAAGTAACAATCTCAGTTTTTCTTATGTTGTCGGTGTTGCAAGGTCCTAAGGATGTATATGTGCCAGTCATGAATTTTATTGTTTTTTCTCAAGATATTAGCATTAACCCAATCATAGCAAGAGATTTTGCATGGTGACACTGTGGGACCATGGCAACATGAAAGTTATTTTTAGAATAATATTGCCAATACCTAATAACATAAGGTCAAATATTTTTCATTGTTTTTCTTAGGTTGTTGATTGAGTTTGATCATGTAACATCTATCATTTTTGAATATTGAGCGTTTTCAGCATTTTTCAGCATCTTAAATGTATTCCAAATGTACCCATGGTTACCACTTACTTAGAGGATAAATTCTAAATAGTTTCTTAATAGCATAAGTGGCAACAAGGTGTCATGTTTTTGGGAGAATGGTTTGTTTGTTTTTCTTAGTCTTTCTTAAGGCTTAATAAAGATTCAAAGTAGCTGAAAATCTCAATTTTTTCCAACTTTTCTGGCAGTTACCATGGCAACCAAGACACATAGCAACGAAATTTTATTTGATATATGTTTCTGGTGTCAAGTTGTAATAATGGGCAAAGTTTCATCAAAATCGGTGACCATGCGTGGCAAAGAAGTTTATGTGGTTACAGAGAATCGCTATTAATAATGAAAAATATATATTACCAAGGAAAGCAAGGCAACAATAAATTGTATTAAATAACCTACTTCTTTGGATGCAAGTTTGTCCGAATTAATAAAGATGAGCTAAGGATAGTGCTTAATTAAATGATGCTTCAAATTTTACATAGAAAAGGCTTTAAAAATATTTCTTCGGAACAATAATAAAATGTAAATCATTTTTACGTTGAAGCATGCACGTCAAATGCGGATTGAAATTCGTTAATTAATGATCCCATGGGGCTAGGAGAGAGCAACAGTATGGGATAAAAATGTTGTTTTTTCTCATTTGAACATTCAAAATTAGGTGGAATTACTGTGAAAAAAAGTAGGGTCACTTTTAACTCAGGTGAACATTGTGGGACATGTTCCTTAGTTTAAAATCTTTGCAATTTGATAATTTGATCTTGTATATATTTCTATTTATTCCATCTCTATTTATTCTATTTAATGTGTTTTCATAAATTTTCATTAATACTTACATGTACGATGAGTATGATTAATTTTTTACTGTTTCAGCTTGCAAACTTGATATAGCTTTCATTATCGATGATACGAATGCAGTTACCGCTGCTCAGTTCACGGAAATGAAAACTGCCATTGAAGTTCTTGTTAGTAAAATGCTTATTGGTGACAATGCCATAAGAATAGGGATAGTGACCTTTGGGGACGGAGCCGCAACGGCCTTTCCGCTAAATCAATACTCAACTGCACCTGCCTTGATCAGTGCTATAAACGCTCTTACGCAAGGAAACTCGGCCTATAGTAGAAGTACCCGCTATGTAGAAAAGGCCATCACATGGACGCTATGGAACTTTTTTACGCCAACAAACGGAGACCGCTCTGACGCCCAGAATTACTATGTTATTCTTACTTACGGAGGTTCATCCGGATCTAATGTTGCTGGATATGGAACATCATTGCAGTACAATTCCATGATCGATATTTTTATACTTGGTTAGTAGTTCTATTTCATTACATCTTTCGGGTTAACAGACTGTTCTACGAGCATGCTTTCTATAGTTATTAGTTTGTCCAATCAAAGATTGCCTGAATCTCTTCAGTTCTTGGAAGTTTTCTTCCAAAATTGTGAAATTCATGGCCCCAGGGACAGGGGTTCTGGTGCTAGGGTGGGGCTATATAGCTCCTACAGTGAAGGTGAATTATTTCTTTGAAAATCTTCTTCTCTGCCCCTGGGTACTATTTAAACAAACTAAGTACATTGTTATGATACGCAAGGATGGCTCTTCTAAAATTGTGAATTTCATGGTCCCAGGGTCAAGGGTTCTGGTCAAAAGGTGGGGGGGGGGGGGCTCTATTGATTATATAGTGAAAAATCAAAATTTCTTTGAAAATATTCTTTTCTGCTTCTGGTTAAAAAGCAAAGAAGCTAAGTATATAGTTATGATGAGCAAGAGTGCTTCTTCCAGAGTAATGAATTGCATGACCCCTGGGTCAGATGTGCTGGTATAAGGTTCGGGCTGTTGATAATGTAGTGAAAATGCATTAATTCTATTAAATAATCCTGTCTGCTCCTTAATGTTAAGCAGTTAAACAAAGTGATTACTTAAGATGAGTAAACTTGAAACTTCTGGTCCCAGGGTGAGAGGCTCTGGTGTTTCTCGGTGGTGAAGGGGGGGGGGGGGAGGGGCTCTATTGATAATATAGTGAATCTGTAGTGAAAATGCATTATTTCTTTAAAAATCTTCTCTGCACTTGGGCATATCAGAGGCAAAAAGTGTAAAAGTTGTAATAAGGAAGGGTATTTTTACCAGATTTTTGAACATCTGGACCATTTGGTCAGGTGTTCTGGTCCTAGCCAGGGCTCAATTAATTTGCATTCTACTGAGAGGAGTTATTCCCCTTTGCCGTTTACTTTTGATAATTAATCACTGTAAATAATGTACTTGAAAAATTAATAGAATAAGAGAATTATGCAAGAATTTTTATTGTATAATACAATAAGTATTTTCTTAGTTTTAATGATCATGTGGACTTGTAAGTAATAGATAAATAAAAATGAGACAAAAATAACTTAAATGTTCATCAAAGACCAAGAGAGGCCAATGTAAGAGATTACAACAAGGAATTAAAACAGTACAAAAGCACTGATATTTTGTTAATATGCTGTATGGTGATAGTGATAAATGGGGAACAGATTAGAACCTAATTTATGAACTGTTAATGAATAGTAGACTAATTATTTTGTTGATCCTGATCACCCTATTTTTCTTGCTTTTGGGCAACAAAGCTTCACCTTTCATTTCATTTTAATACTCTATGGATCCTCTAAATTGTTGTATTGTACTCAGGTGACCGTTATGGCCCTTGGGCCTCTTGTTTATGTACACATACAGTATATCGTTATTCATTATTTAACTAATTTAGAAGCTGCCTTAAACACACATTCTTCTTAGACAATTCAATTTTCAGAGAAAAACCACATTTTGAATGTTGTAACCGAAGAGAACAACACAGCTAGGTTTACGCATAGGGGCTTGTCTTCTGGATTATTAAATGTAAAATAAATTAATAAAATTTTGAATCTAAATACACTTAAAAGTTGATTAAATAAAGATTCTGACACTTTCAGTCAAGAAAAAGCGCGCTTAAAAAAGACGTACCACACCTAAATACATTAACTCTACAAGGGACAAAAGCTCTTCTTCTCGGAAAAAATACCCCCACCCACTTCAGCGCCTATTTCTGGACTCTAAAGCAATATTTATTTCGTTTTCATGGTTCTGTCCCATACAGTGATGATTTTCCTAAATGTTGATGCGTTTGTCAGTCGTCAATACGCGTTTAATCAACAGAAAACGAATAAAATTTCTTCCATTTGGGGCTCATTTTTCTAAATCGACCTGGGAAGAACAGAAGTTTACATGGCTGCGTGGCAACGACGCAAGGGCGATAATCGTGGTATAACATATAGCGCACTTGTGTAGCAAGTGTCCTGTAAATTATGTAATGCCATGTTCCCACTATCACGATTGGCGCCACGATTGAAATCGGGGAGTCAAAAGTGGACAAATCGTAGTGATCGTATCAAACCGTAACAAATCTTGTGTTCACTCGTGACTATCGTGTTGATCGTGGAATTTTTTTGACAATAAAAAATTTTCTACGATTAACACGATTAAATTTTAATCGTTATCATCGCATCAGACCGTATTGCATCGTAACTAACCTCAATTGCATCGTAAATAAGCGCAACTTATCTTGCTTTCATATCGTGATCATCGGGATCGACCTCGGACAGGACAGATACACCGCTGGTTTGCGATTCTTTGCGATGTCTCAAGTTCTGTCACTATCCGTGACTCTTTGCGTGGTCCTACTGCTCACGAGTTGACACGAATTATCTCCGCTCAGATACAATTTCATACGGACAGATGAGAGTAAACTCGATTAGATACGAGTGCTGACGCTTTGTCACGGACGCTTACACTATCTTACGAGTAATTAAACTAACACAAATAACGGACAAAATTTGATGCGTTTCGTTCACCGATCGGAAGAAGAAGAAATCAGTATTACAAAATATTTTGAAGATGCCACCCAAGGGAAACAGGGGCAAAAAAGGAAAAAGGTGAGTGACCCCATCTCCAGCTGAACCTGAACCTGTTCAAGCACAGGCTACATCGAAGGAGGCAGGAACAAAAAAAAGAAGACAGTTACTTCCTTCACTGAAGAACAGAAGGAAGAAATAATTGAATTTTTGATTCGAAACGAAGTATTGTACAGCAAACGTTTGGCTGGGTTTAAAGATGTCGCAAAGAAAGAGGACATATGGGCTGCTCAGGCAGCAAAGATGAATACTAATGTCGATCAACTGAAAACATGGTAATCAAGTATGAGAACAATGATGGATCGATTAAAGAAACGTGCAAGGAAAAGTGGGACAGGAGGAAATGCCCTTACTGATGACATGAACAGCACGGAGAAGTGGGTGTGGGATAAGTTTTCGTTTCTTATCCCCCACATTGAGACGGTGGAACCAAGAAATGTGTGCTCGTTTGCGGCAGCTACAACAGGTAGCTCCGAATTGTCATCTTGTACCAAGCAAAGCTCCGCCAATTTGTCTAACTCCAGTAGGGTTTCAACACCAGTATCACAATCAGTTTCACCAGGAATCTCTCAGTCAGGATCAGACGGCTGTCTACGAGGAAGAGAGGAAAGGGTGTCCTCTGTTGAAATGAGTACTTATCATTACAATTAATCTAATTCCTCATAAAATACACTCACAAATAATCAATCTTACATAGAAAATGTTATGAAAATTAATTTCAAATTTTTTGATTACCTTTGTACCTTAATAATTCTAGAAATGTGTGAGAGAGGTTATATTAGGAAAAAAATGCACTTTCTTAAGTTTCTACTTTACCATGTCTATCACTTATATTTTTAGAAGAACTACTGGTGGAATTTATGTCAAGAAGTACTGCTTGTTGTGGCAGCTCCCACTTTGGAAGATATGTGGATGATACGCTATCAAAACTACCTGGAGAAATAAGGAGGGAGGGAGAAATCAATATTATGCAGGAGCTGCATAGGGTTCAACGGGCAGCGGAGAACAACCAAAGACAGTCACAATCAAGCCAAGAGGAACAAGCACAATTAGATTTTTGTCAGCAACAGTTCCATCAGACACAGTGGCAACCTCCACCGTCCCAGTGGTCAGTTCGCCCTGTGGGGAAGTCTGGATCGCGCCTACTTCAGCGGCAATTCCCAGCTGTCCCGATTACCTGTCCACTACCACAAACCAGATCTCAGCTAAGACCAGTAAATTCAACTACCATAACCACAGCTAGCACTGCATCAGTTTCAACAACCGAACAAGAATCATTCGTTAATCTTCTATAAACTCAGCTTAACACCCCAGAGGCAGCCCACGAGGATGCTGAATCAGAGCTATACCACACATGAACATTTGACAACAGCAAGCATATATATAACATTTATCAAAATAATACCAAATAAAGATTGTCATAAAATTTATATTATTTTTATTTTTTTCATATTTTATATTAACATGATGACCGACCGTTATTATATCTAGAAAATGGCTTTTCACATTTGTCTGAGTGCACAAATAAGATAAACCTTGGCTGAGAATTTCATAACATGTTCTTAAAACATAAAAAATAACATAAAAAATATGATAAAAAATTGATGCAGAAAATATCAATTTAATTTCATCAAAACAGATTTCTTTGTAAATATATATAGGTTTAGTCTTTTGCGGCCAAAGACATTAAATTTTGAAATCAAAACAGTATTTTCAAACTCTCAGATGTAATTTTCGTTGTCATGAAGCCCTGCCATCCTTTCCTGCCTCTCGACCGCACCTTGTGGTGAGCTGAAAAATTTCTTCAAGAGTTCCCTTTGGTATTTTCCATCTCCTGTAGGTGTATTGCGAGGTACATTTGTTTGGTCCACATCTGGCCAATCCACCTGGTCTCTCCACGCCCCTGGGATGATTTAAAAATGGTTTAAATCCTGATGGTCCACTTCTTGAATAACGATACCTGGATGTCTCAGCCTCAGAAGATTGTACAGAACCACTGTTGCCTCCACTATATCCTTCACAGTGTCGGTCTTCTGTTTTAAAATCCTTAGAAGACACCTAAATCTATTAGCTAGAATCTCAAACGCATTTTCTACCACTCTCCCTCCCCTTGAAATTCTATAATTGTAAATCTTCTCTTCTCTGGACATTTGTCTTCTGCTATATGGTTTCATGAGGTAGTTTCGAAAAGCAAAGGCATCATCTCCTAGAATAAAGAAAGGTATGTCCTGGAAGTCATCAGGGCTTGAAATCAGAGGACAGGGTGGGGTAGTCCTATGGCGTTCTCTTACAAACTTGTAACTTGCATCCACCAGAGCAAGAAGTGGAATTGATTGATTGTATATTGTTTTACGTCCCATTCGAGAATTTTTTACCCATATAGAGACGTCACCATATACCGGTGAAGGGCTTCAAATTTTTACCTTTACTCGGCACTCAGGGCCATTGAGCAGTGAGGGATCTTTATCGTGCCAATGTCCGTCTTAACACGGGGCCTCGGTTTTTAAGGTCTCATCCGAAGGACCCGCAACTTTCACTTCAAAGTGCCGAGCGCATGGCGAAGGAACAGTTGCTACCCATTTTTTAATGACTTAGGTCAGTCGCGGCCGAGATTCGAACTCACGACCTCCCGATCACGGAGCGAAGTGGAATTGAAAAGAAACCTTTGTAATTAAAGTGCATACTGCCAGTTTGAGGTGGCTTCTTGAAAGCAATGTGTTTACCATCTAGGGCGCCAACTGCATGGGGGACGTTCCATCTCTGCTCAAACTGAACAGCTAAAGCTTTCCAGGCTTCAGGAGTTACAGGTAAGCTAAACACCTCATTTTTGTCTACTTGTACAATTGCCTGGCACACTTCTGGGACCATTTTTGAGATACTTGACACTCCACACCTAAATGCATACGCAAGTGACCGATAGCTATCTCCAGTGGCAAGGTGCCTCAGGGTCACTGTCAGTTTCAATGCAGGTGAGAGAGGTTGCCTAAAACTTGTGACTTCCATCTCAATGCTGCTGCTGGATCCTCAAGCCTCAAGTGACTGTCCAGAAGATTAGAGAAGTGGCCGAATTGTTGTCTTCTCTCCTCTGTAAGCCAAGGTCACACCCAAAAGTGCCTGTGTGCAGCTCTTTTAACCTTTCTTTGATGATATTGTACATGGTTTATCTGCTGCTCTTCCTCTTCTTCCATAGCAATACATACGAACATAGTAGTACTGCAAACACCACGTTGTCATCAACCTCAACTTCTGCTATTCTTATTGATTGTATGTTTTTGTTGTGTTTACTTTTAAATAGATAAAATATAAAGGACTCAATATATTGAGATTGTTTACAAAAAAATGTCTTTCGGAGTACAATCGTAGCTCAATGCGTATATCATCTTTATCCTGATCGTGAAAGACATTGCAATTAACGTGGTGTTCTATCGCAAATTAGCGCAACGGGGCGTGATGAACGTATTATGTCGTAAAAGTAAGTATTTAAACGTAGAAGATCGTTTCAAATCAGAGATCATATGGTGATATTCGTAACAGATCGAGGTTCTTTTGTCAACTAAATCTTGATATCCTATTGGAACGTAAGTCATCTTATCTGAACGGGTAGTTAGATCGTCAGGGATCGCGTCACATGAAATTTATCCATCGTGACCATACCGCATCAAAGCGCAACGAATCATATGAAAACGCATCTATGCGCATCTCTTCCTATCTTGGCATGAAATTCAATAAAAACTCTGTGATCACCTACGAAATATCAACCGTGGCGTTCCTAACAGACCGCACGACAGTGGGAACGTAGCATAACAAATTAGTTATACATTAAATGAAATGAGTCTTCCCGGTGCCGCCTTAGCCCATGAAAACCAAACTTTAGCCAGTATTTATCATTTTCACTGTTCTTGTCGGTAAACATTTTTTCCGCGAAGCTGAAAGTCCTTGGGTGTTACCATTCGCTTTCGATTACCCTCTGAGTTTTCCCTATACATTGATTATCTGCCCTTGCGATTTTGTAAACGTCCGTTCTTCCCAGGTCGATTTAGAAAAATGGGCCTCAAATCGAAGATATTGTATCCGTTTTTAAACGCGTGTTGTCAACTGACAAGCGAATCAACATTTAGGAAAATCATCAGATTCACTGTATGGGACAGAACCATGACAACGAAATAAATTAATGCTTTAGAGTCCAAAAATAGGCGCTGAAGTGGGTGGGGGTATTTTTTCCACGAAGAGAGCTTTTGTCCCTTGTAGAGTTTATGTACATAGGTGTGGTACGTCTTTTTTAAGCGCGCTTTTTCTTGACTGAAAGTGTCAGAATCTTAATTATACCAACTTTTAAGTGTATTTAAAGTAGATTCAAAATTTTGTTAATTTATGTTACATTTAACAATCCGAAAGACAAGCCCCTATGGGTTCACGTTGATTTCTTTATTTGAAACAGCGAGCAAGTAACGGTAAATATCGACAATGGAATTAGTGTGTAGAATTAGAAAGGAAATTATACATATTATTCTACCCATTAGACAAAATATACGTCAAATAGATACAAAATAAATAATAACATTATTAGTCATGAAATGGATAAGTATTACCTATATGGAAAGCACAACCATGAGGTGTTGTGACCTTGAAATTGGCTGGCGGGACAAGTATTTCTGATAGAACCTGTGTATTTATACCGAGATATACTGCGCAAGTGGATTGCCTCGATTTAAGGAATACACCAATCAGATATAAGACTACAAAAGAGTATTCGACAAAAGCCTTCACAAAATGTTAGAATCTTACTGATTTGATTCAAATAATCGAATAAAAAATAAAACTACAAGAGTGAGTTCGATACTCGCCTGAATAGAATATATGGAAATACTTGGTCAATATGTCACTAAAGAAAATGATTTGTGTAGTGAGAAAATTACTAACTAAAAGAGGAACTACAAGATAGCCCTTAATATGTTTGGTAATTAATTGCCTAATTAATCTATTTTACTGTTTAATCAAAATTATTCCACAAGGAACTGGCTATGTTACTGATAAGGAACAAATCTATCAGGTAGTTGTTATATAATCTTTTTGAAAAAAAAATATTCTACATGGTTTGCTCTTGGTATTTAATTTGGTAATATATTCTCTAAATTTTTTTCCTGCTTCTGTTTCAATACCAGAACAAAAAGGTTTACTCACAATATTTGCGGTTTAAACTTTTCTTTTTCCAATTTCCGGATCGGGCGAATTGTAACAACGAATGATGTAATAAATGTATAGAATTGTTTAAACTTTCCTTGAAAAATGGAAAGTGATATCTCATAACATGAAAATAACATTTTTGTCTTTTTAACATGCTTTGAAGGCATCTTACAAACAAATCTATAAGGATTTTGTATAAGATACTAGTATTTTTCAGGTGTAAATGTTCCTACAAGCTATAACGCTGATTACCAGGGGGCTGTCAGTTCAGGAAGATACAAGACAGCCAGTACATTCGCTACTCACCAGTGTGACAGCAATGTGTTGTCCATGATTAAACAATGTCCAACGACAAGTCCAACAGCTGCTACCCCAAGTAAGTCAACATCAACAACATTATAGAAAATAAACAAATCAATTAAAGTGACACTGTCACGGAAAAACGGGAAAATTGACAACAGTAGAATTTTTGCATGACACATGCAAATTTTGTTCAGTTCTTGAAGATATTAGGTTTCAGAAAATTATAGGTTTGAGAACCTAAAAAATCTATTTTAATTGAGAAAAATAAAAGTAAAAAAAAAATCTTTGTATAACCCAACACAAAAATATTGCTTCACTTCTTCCTCTTTATTGTATGCATGCGCTGAAAAGTTGAAGAATTTACCATGGTTTCAATTCCATAGATATAAATGTCGGATGACTGAGAATTTTAATACAATCTTCAAAAAAGATGATCGTAACTTATTCCTTACTTCTGCTTGCCCCAATTCAATGTGGTTTACAAGTTTCACGCTAAAAATAAACGACGCGTGACCTTGACATTGTTGACATTGACGATGAAAACAAAGCGATAGATACATTAATTTTTCCCGCACTTATATTATGCAGATCTTTTCTTGCTTTACAGTGCAGTTGACTCGTCAAGACTTCGCTATATTCATATTTCACAGAAATCTTTTTTTTTGTGATAAAGTTTTCTTAAAAGAAACACATGGTTTAGACTCATTATGCAACTTTAATAATATCCCTACTGTTCAAAGGCAAGTTCAGAACAATAACAATTTACCAATGGTTTAATTATTCAATCATAAACATAGCATTACTTATAATTATTATTTTTTTTTTTTTTTTTTGGTCACAGGTTATGTATATATTGAAAAATTGGTTATGAAAAACTTTCTAAAAAGTTTTGAAATGTCAATCTTTGAAACTTGCAAGGATAACTCGCTAGAAAAATATATATTCAAAAAAGTATTGGTCGACCTTTGCGATTTGTTGTATAATAAACACTCATGAAGAGACCTTCAACTGTCTTGCATTTATAAGAACAACACAACTCATGTGTAAGCTAATAAGCTTATTTGTCATTAATTTTTATTTAATATCGTCATTATATTTTTCATTAAGTAGTTGAAATTTTTGTCACCTATTTCCGTATGAAAACATTGATGACAATGATATTTTCTAAAGTAAAGAAATTGCTCACCACTGGTTTTTAACCCCATTTAAAAGCTGTTTACACATGCATATATATGACATTTCTACTTTTTAAGAAAAATGACAAAAATACCCTTTCCCAACATGGTGCCAAAAATGAATCATTTTGGTAAGATAATATATAAAATATTTCAAAAAGTTCATGTTTTCCTTGGCAACCTTCGTAATAATAGATTTCTATAAATTTTAATCGTAATATTAAATTGTACCGATATATAAATAAATAACACAAGAAGTAGTGCTCCTTGCACTTTGTGAGACTAACATAGATTGATCTCGACTACATGACATCTTTATATTGGGCTTCCTACGGCAACGCCTTGTATTAATGCGCATATGCATAGCCATAATGATTCAAACACGTTACTATCATACAATGTCTTCCCGCTATTCTTCAAAACGCGGGAACATATAATTTCCTTCTACCGCCTCAAAATTGTTTAGGTATTCTAGCCTTCTTTTGTCAGTGCTTTACCATAAAATACTATAGTTAGCTACAGGTTCCTATAGTTCACTTTAATTTACTGTATAAAGTATATTTTTTTTACAATCAATATCAAAGTTTTAAGTAAAGTGAAAGTATTTTAATATGAATTTAAAATTGCTTCTCTTTTTTTTTTTTTTTTTTTTTTTTTTTTTTTTTTTTTTTTACAATTTTGACATGCAAATTTTCGATATCATTTTTTATGAAATTTTACTTGTTTATTCACATATCATTTCCAAAATTTACATCATCGATATTGAATTAAGAGACATTAAGGCTTAAATTTAAAAGAAAAATGTTCTGGAGTAAAGTTTCATAGTAAATCAAAGTATTTCAAGTATTCACTATAATAGTTAACCGTTTCAAATTTTGTAGGGATAGTTAAAAAAAAATCAGCATATCACTTAGGAAACGGCATGATAAAAGTGTATGATATGTAATAATGGAAGATGTTGCTCATGGCATAAGTGTTTCATTCTTTTTATTTTGTTGTCATTTCAGGCTGCAAACTGGATATAGTATTTATCGTAGAAAGGTACAATCTGAGGTATATAAAAAGATTTGTGGTAGAACTATTAAATGGAATATACGTTTCTACTGATGGAGTGAGAGTGGGTTTTGTCATATATGATTCAACGGCAACAACAGTTTTTGGGCTCACAGCTCACAACACCTCTGCAGCCGTAAAAGCGGCCATTGAAGCGATTCCTGAGACAAATAACAACAATCATTATGTAAATAAAGGTCTAATTCATGCTCGGGACAACGTGTTTACTTCCGCTGGGGGTGATCGGGCAGACGCCAACAACTATTACGTATTTGTTGTGGGGCCATACAATAGTGATACGGATACAGTGGGGCGGGTCATTAGGAGCGATGTGAACAATTTTATTTTTGCCACCCGTAAGTTCTTGTTTACCAATATTCTGGTCAAAATGTAAAACAAACATTGTTATTATAGAAGAGGAACTAGTAAATTTAAAGTTAATTTTATTTCAGATATTGGCTCGACTTATGAAACGGAATACAAAGAAACTGTTGGTGCCTGCAGTGACTACACCAAGTACACGAGCGTTGATACCTATGAAAATTTGCTTACAGTTAGACAACAAGTTATAGGAAACATCACTTCCTGTCAGTCAGTCACTGCAAAATCACAAGGTATCGGTTTATGACATGATAAATTCTTAGCCAAATACTAACTACTTTTCAAACTTGTCCTTTTCCTGTTTAGTCTTTGCAATTACTTGTTCTTCCTGATTTGCACTAGCTGCATAAATGCATCAAAAATATGTAGTCACACTCACTATATTTGACTTGAAACAACTTCTCATTTTTTCAACACAAGCCAAAAGTGTATTGGGAAACCTAAGGTACATTGAATACTCTACATTTGCCAAAGCACACACATGAAATATGAAGATAACGTACAGTAATTTACATGTAGCTCAAAAAACCAATTAAACAATTCAAATTAAGCAGAGCGAATACAGACCTCTCAAAACGCAGGAGGTGAGATAAGGTGCCAGATAAAAATAACTTATCTTTCAATTTTGACCTATTAATTCGATAAATAAAGTAATATTCATTTTAAAGAGTAATTATATATATTCAAAGTTCACTGTGTACTGAGGTTGATTTTTAAAATAGCCCATGAATCACTTGACTGGAGAATTGATCGTCACAATAGTTGAATTGACTGGCTATACTCATAATATTATAATAGCATTAAATGCATTTTCAGAAGTTGAGAGTGGATTTGAAAAATTAGAACATATTTAATACATTAATTTATGTATATTCTTGTCCTGTATTTGAAAGGAAAGAATACCATTTACTTGCTTGTAATTTTATTTAGAATTCATATTGAAAACTGATATTATATCTAAAATGAACAATGGACTAAATGGATAATTACAATGTACCATCCAGCATTCTCATCTCAAAAATAAGTCGAAGTTTTATGTTTGACGAATTTTACCTCATTCTAGTACGTTTTTCTTTTCTAGCTTACTACTTGAGAAAAATTATACTTTTGATATCATTCTATTTATTATTTACTAGTATTCATCATCTACGTTTTGAAAGAGAGGATGGGTTATTTGATCTTGAAAAGAAAACGTAACTGTAAAAAGTTAACATATGATGGACAAACCAACAAAAGAGACCTTTTAGACCCGTAGGAAGCAAATTCAGTTGGAGGAGGGAGGGGGACAACCATATATTTTCAGTTTGGGGGGATACTATCAAGTAAAAATTCCTTGTCAAGCAGATCATCAGACGTTATTGTAGAGGGAGTACAGGCAAAAATAGCTGTATTTTCTATAGTATACCAAATAACGCCAAAATTGTGCCCCCGGTTCTTACGACCATGTCTTTCCTCGGAAAACTCTCTCTGATTTAAGTTTTCTAAGATAAAATGCACATAAAAACTCATCAGGATTTTCAATTTGCTAAGAAGACGAGGGAAACCAGAATGAACGAAAACGATTAGATATTCCAAATCATATTTGATGGTAAAGAGGCAAAAAGGAAAAAAAGAATGTCCTTTGGATTAAATAGCCTAGAATAAAATTTAAAGAAATATTTCAGTATATTATTTCTTTATAAGTTTTCATGATGTGGAAATAAAATTTTACCCAGGGAGATTATTCTAATAGGCAAATATTTTTTTTTTTATAATTGAACAATGTCTTCTTTTATCCACCTGGTATGTTCAAAGTTTGGTTACTGATCTTTGCCCATTTGGACTTTTCTCGTGAAATAAAAATAGGTTAATAAATAAAAATGAGATTTAGGCTACATGATTATTGTTCTAATATTTTGATACTCAATCTTGCATGTGTTATATGAAAAAAGTACACTTTTGTTGATGCTGAATGTGAACTTGTGATGTTGAATTTGAAATTTTTCAGCCTGCAAGCTAGACATAGCGTTCCTAATTGACGACACGGACTCGGTTAACGCCGCAAAATTCCAGGAAATGAAAGTCTTTCTCGAACTTCTTGTCATGAAAATGCTTGTTGGTAGCAATGCAATAAATATAGGAGTTGTGACATTTGGCGACGGTGCAACTACTGCTTTTCCACTCAACCAGTACACAACAACAGGTGAAGTGATAACGGCTATAAGCAATCTTGCCCAAGGAAGCACGGCCTATAGTAGGACTCAGCGCTCTGTGGACAAAGCCATCACATATACACTATGGAATTTTTTCACGGAAAGTAATGGAGACCGCTCTGACGCCCAGAATTATTACGTTGTCCTAACAACAGGAGGTTCCTATGGATCGAAGGTTACAGAAATTGGAACAGCACTGCAGTACAATTCCATGATCGATATTTTTGTACTTGGTAATCATTACAAATACTTGTTATAGGAGCTTTTTCACCACTTAATATGTTGTCCACGTAGGTTTGTTTTGATATGAAGGCACGAAGTATCAATCTCTTTACATTTGCGTCGACAACAGAGTGTCCTTGAATGGAGATATCCAATTAACTGAAAATGAAGGGTTTTTTTTTTATTGAGATTTAATTGAGACATAATGTACATAACAAAATTGGGCAATGTTCGGAATCTCGCGATTTCTCAGACACCCTGTTTACTATTTCAAATCTTGCACAGTTTTAATCACATCAATCCTTGAAATTATCTAAGTAGCATTCTTTATTCATACAAATAATTCAGAAAGTTCTTTTCGAAGATCCTTTCTTCATTACAATAACAAAGAATCGAGGAATTTGAAATAGGTACAGGTTATCTGTGGTCGGTCATATCTCCGATAACCTTCGGTCGTTAACTTCTTTAATTTGCCTTGTTTCTGTTTAATAAACAATATAGGTTGTTTTAAAATTTTACAAAGCAAACACCCGTATATAATAAAGTTGATATTTATTCAATTTAGCTTACGATCGAAGTACACAATGCAACCAATAAAGAGTAAGTTTTAGGATTATACCAGGACCGTCAAATATTTTAGTAAATAAAGATTGAAGTTGATGGCGGAGTAGCAAATCTTTGATATTTCATGTTTCTCGATTAGGATAATTTTCCCAAAACTCCTTAATAATTTAATCTTCTCCCTTGCAGATTAACACAGAAACCATCTAGAAAATATTTTTAGGGAGTACAATTAAGCTTTGTGAAATATTCAAACGAATTAAAGAAACTATATACAGGGTGTTTTATAATACCTGTCACCATTAAAAATACCTCTTGAACCTTTGATTAAGGTCCTTTGTCTTCTACAGAAGATCTTTTTGTTCTATTTTATAATCAAATCACTTTCACTGAAGTAAATTCGCTACATACAATTCTCAGATATGAGTAAAACTTTTAGCTAATTCTTTAGCTAATATTTTAAGGAATCATTTTTTTTTGCATTCAGGAGCTAATGACAACCCTTAGATTTATTTACATGTTCAATTATGCTATAAAGCAGGCGACACATGCGTCCCCTTGGAATAGTGTAGCAAATGATTTTTGGTGACTCGCATATCACTCTAATAGTTTCTAACAAAATTGCTATATACAATTTCCTGATGATTATGCATAAATTAAGCCCGCGTATAAAGAGGACTTTTAGCGCATATTATTCTCTTATGATTCGTGATTTTTTTTGTTCAGGTGCTAATGTTCCTACGGCTGATGACGCGGATTATCAGGGGGCTGTCAGCTCAGGGAGATACATGAAGGCTACCGACTTCACCGTCCATCAGTGTGACAACACTGTGTTTACCACCATCACTCAATGTCCTCCGGCGGCTCCGCCCCCTGTTACTGTTGGTAGGTGCAGGGTTCCAAGAAAGTTTTAACTCTGCAGATTCTGCAAAAATTCTGCAGTTATATGCAAATCTGAGTTTGATTTTAAAAACTATCAAAATGTACCCCTTTTTAGAGCAGATTATTTAATTCAAAAATAATAAATTAACTTTTTAAAATGAAAAGCATTAATTTTCCATTGTTCAAACCTTGTAACATTTCATAAATGTCGCCTGAAATGACATCTCCACCATTATGTCGAAATTGTTTATCCTACTGGTCGTAATATTGGTGAAAAAACCGTTCTCAGCTATACATGTTTCTTTTGTCATTCTTTAAGCAAATACATTTAAAACAATAAGCATCATTTAATAAGTCAAATCAGATTAGTTATATTTTTTATCATTGTATAATTAAAAAAAAATGTAATGATGAATGTTTTGGCTCAAGGTAAAACACACTCAAGTATGATACATTATTAAATTGTTTCTTAATCTTGTAGACTGCAAACTGGACATGGTGTTTATTGTTGAAAATTACAACCTACGTTATACAAAGAGATTTGTAATTGAACTGATGAGGCAAATCCCAGTTTCCTCTGACGGAGTAAGGGTGGGTTTTGTTCTATATGATTCTGGGGCTTCAACAATATTTGGACTTACACAATACACGACATCGGCCGCCGTGATAGCTGCAATTGAAGCGATACCTGAGACAAGTAGCTCTTACCATTACGTATATAAAGGCTTAACTCATGCAAGGGACAACGTCTTCACAGCTGCTGGGGGTGATCGTGCAGATGCGAACAACTATTACATTTTCATTGTTGGGCCATTTTACAGTGCTACTGCCGCTATTGCAAGGGACGTCAGAAGCAGCGGAAACAACTACATATTTGCTGTCCGTAAGTGTCTTTGAAACGTATTAATGCATGCAATATATACTCTTCTTAAATACAAGTTGATGATCCATAAAATTTCCTTTTTCCAGATGTTGGTGATTCTTATCATACCGAGTATCAGGAGTCTGTTGATTCGTGTGGTGACTACACCAAGTATACGAATGTTGATTCGTATGAAAATCTACTTACAGTAAGAGAGCGAGTTATTGGAAACATCACTTCTTGCCGAGCAATAACGGAATTAACTCAAGGTATCAATGTTTCATTGATTACACATACTTAGGTCAAAGTCTAGTCAAAATATGCCTGTTTTAATCTTTATCCCTTCAAATAAATTTTCAAAACCAGTCCAATTAAGGTATAGGTTAGAGAGCTTAGATGAGGAGAGAGTTATGATCCATCAGAATAGTTGGGTTAACAGATGTGATTGCTATAATTTTCTCTCTTTAACTAGCTTAATAACTAAGTATTTTTCAATTAGTATATTTAAAGCAGTACATGAGTTAGTGGACAGTTAATTTGCTGCATAACCAAGCAAGTTCTAGAAGTACTTTGTTTCCGTAAAAAACCCAAACTAATCTTCGAATATGTTATATGTGTAAATGTAGATCTAAATCATATGAAAGTCAGAAAAAAGTTGACTTCTAACCATACTTTATTTTCACATTTTTTTGTAGTTCAATCATCATATAATTTTTTCAGGGCATTTTAAATATTTATGATATTTTTTTGTTAAAAATTGTGTATCTATCATTTTTTCAGACTGTAAAATCGACATAGCTTTCATAATTGATGATACAAACACAGTCAACGCCTCAAAGTTCCAAGAAATGAAAACCTTTCTTGTCAGTCTTGTCACCAAAATGGTAATTGGTGATAATGCGATAAAAGTAGGGGTTGTGACCTATGGTGACGGAGCAGACATCGCTTTTACGCTGAAACAATACTCTACAGTAGACCAACTGATAACGGCTATAGGAAATATTGCCCAAGGAAGCACTGCCTACAGCAGAAATCGTCGCTCTGTTGATAAAGCCATTCTTCATACATTATGGTATTTCTTTACTAAGACGAACGGTGACCGTGCGGACGCCAGAAACTTTTACGTTGTTGTTACATACGGAGGCTCCTATCAATTTAAGGATGCGGCTTATTGGGAAGCATTACATTACAATTTCTTAATGGACCTTTTTATTCTTGGTTAGCCAACTCTAATTTTGTTTTTTGCTAATAATAAATGCTTGTTTGAAGTTTATTTTTTTCACCGCAAGCAGAAAAGCTTTAACTATTGAAGTGTATTTCTTAAAAATCAATTTGCAGTGACCCAGTGACCTAAAATATCGCTTTTCGTAAGTGACTGAAGGAAATAAACAAGATACCTGTCAAATATTTAACGAGAATATCTTATATCATGTATAAAGCACAGATATTCTTTGGAAAAAGTTGTTGATTTCTCCATCTCCTGTCGAATGCCATTGTGTAGGCACTGAAAAATTATATACTTCATTTTTAGAAATTACTCCATATGTTTGCAGAACTACCTATTGTTAGGGCAAATGTTGGGTCTATTGTTTTTCATACTACTTTTTTTATGGATTACTCCTTTTCCTTGTCAATAAGAGGGTTACCAGCGAATGTGACGGATGGGCAGTGATATCTACTCCTTCTGGACACCATATCCCACCTCTGGTATTTCCAGGGGTCCATTATTTGTCGTAATCACGACTTTTATTGTTGGCAGATAGGATGTGTGAAACCATTTGATCACTTAATTATTTTTGCCGTTATTTTAAAGAATCAATTTAAATACCAATTAGCACTGAGTTGAGATACCACAATGCAATATAGAAACTGTTGACTGAAGAAAGATAAAAAAAAAATCTCGTATTATTGTAGACGATCCTCTGCAAAATCTCAATAGTGATTTCATATATTTCTAAAACATTTTAACATAAAGAAAACTCTTGTTAATAGGAGCTGGTGTTCCACCAAGCTATGACTCGGACTTTGAGGGGGCAGTGAGTGAAGGACGATATATAAAAACTACTGACTTTATAGGACTTTCATGCAACAGCGAAGTGGTCATCTCCAATATCACTCAATGTCATACAGAAGAAGCGCCTACTATTGCTCCACCAAGTAAGCTGTGATATCTTCGAATCGAGACAAAGTCAATCTCCAGTTCCTTGAAAAAATATATACGAAAATAATGCAAAAACTTCCAAATGATTTATTTTCAAATATTTCTCTAAATTATTCCATCGACCAAAAAACGTATAGGCTATAGAAAGCATTTGATTTATTTTTTTAATGAACAAAAATATTAAGTAACATGTGCATTAACATGACAATTGTAAATAAAAATGATCTTACATTGCGTTTGTATAATTATGTTCCCGAAACGAAGTTTGGGAACATATTGTTTTTACTTTCTTTTTTTCCTTCTCCGGTACTATTTTGTCCGCGAGTGTTCTCGGAAACTACTCATTCGATTGAGATGAAACCTTTTTAGGGTTAACAGGCATGCTGTGTAGATGTGCTGAACGAAGGTCATTTTGCACGCACATGCATGCACGTGCGTGCGCGTGCAATGAGTGAAATGACTGATATGCTTAATAAAACCATAACTTTTCTATTTTTTGATGAAATGCTTTGAAACTCAAAACATAACGATACGATATATAAGTAGTGTAGACAACATGACATGGTCAAATTAACGTAAACTCACGCGCATCCACATGTCGCTCTGATTGGCTAAAACTAAAATCTCATTATTATACCTCATTATAATTATTCTATACAACACGTTGTCTGATTGGTTCTTATCACGTGACAGGACCATAAAACTTCATATTTCCCTGTCGTCGTCATGCTTTTCATCATATTCAACCTCTTCGGAGACTTAATGCATTTTCCCGCAATAGTTATCGTTCGTTGAAAGAAAACTCCCGAGAGTAGTAGAATCCACAATAGCCTAGTTTACGTCACAAAGTTGCTGATGGACTTCTGTGTTTCAGTAACACTACGTTAAATTTGAAATTGAATTTGAGAGCGGTGCCGAATTTGAAAGTTTATGTTTATTTTTAAAGTTTTTGCTTGTTTCGGTAAAATAAACAATTTATTGCATGAATGTTCGGGAAACATGAAGATTTATTCAGAAATCTCATATTCCCCTCAGGCGAAGCCCTCGGGGAATATGATTTTTCTTGGCTGAATAAATCTTAATATTTCCCTCACGATCATGCAATAACTGTAATATATCTTCCTTGTTTTTTTTTTTTTTTTTTTTTTTTTTTTTTTTTTTTTTTTTTGACAAAATCCTTTGAAATTTAAGATATAGATATATTATAAAGTAATACAATATCTTATATACAGAAATTCTTTAAAACACGCTCATGAACGTGTGCTGAAATTTGATTGGCTGAAGCTTAAAATGACTTAAGCTCCTTTAGTTTTCAACAAATCAGAATGAATATTAGAACATTGATAGGTAATATGGGTTCCTACATTATGCTACTACCAAAATCGAATGCAAGAACATGCAAACACTTGTGCTGAAATATGATTGGCTACTACTTTACAGGTTTTATCCTCTTACTATTGAATAAAATACTATGAAATTTAAGGCATTGGCATATGCTAAAAGGCGCTATAAGAATATATATTTGAGAAAACTAGAAAATACGCACAAGCAGGTACTACTATGCTGAAATCTGATTGGCTCACTTAGTATTTATAAAGCAGTATTTGTTCATGAAAAGAAGAAAACACTTGCTGTGGCCTTCAACTCAAAATTTAGATGTATCGACGACGTACTGTCAGTTAACAATGGTTATTTCCACAGAGTCTGACACATCTGTTTCATATTTGGATATACTGCAAGAAAAAGACGTTAATAGTCATCTAACAACCAAGCTTTATGATAAACGTGATGACTAACTTTTCTATCGTTCCTAACTTCCCTTACTTATGCAGCAATATACCTTCACCTGCATATGGGGTTTATATCTCTCAGTTGATTCGATACGCAAGAGAATGCTCTACGTATGAACAATTTTAAAACTAGATAAGTTATTGACAAACAATTTGATGAAACAAGAATATCAGCAGCCTCGTTTAAAGTCGTCATTTCGTAAGTTCTATGGTCGATACAATGACCTTGTCAGCAAATACAATTTATTATGAAGTCAAATGCTGACTGACGTTTTCATACTAATTGTTAGGCCATTATTTACACACTGAATTGTCGACGGATTTTTCCGTTATTACCCGCGATCATGACAAGGAGCACACGGCGGGTGTGACCGGTCGGCAGGGGATGCTCACTCCGCCATGGCACCTGATCCCACCTCCATTGTTTTAGAGGTCCATGTTCGCTCTGCTCCAAAATTTGTATTGTTTAATGGACATCTGAGCTTGAATACTGTTCGTTATCTCCATACATTTCAGTTCTTAGTTGTTATCGAAAGAAGATGTAATTCAGAGTATGTATAAATAGTTCCTACATTATTCAATCTTCAGATATGAATAAGAGGACATGCATGCACGCGCGCTGATTTTTGATTGCTAATTTTCATGTTGCTGTAACTTCCTATATTCTCAGTGAAATTCTTTGAAATTCAAAATGCAGCTTATTAATGTGACATTCTATCAGATTTTGTACATGTATATGGTAATTTTCGAAATCATGTGCTTGCACGTGTACTTAAATCTGATTTGCTTATGCTCACTGTGCTATATTTGCATTGTTATTTCTTCAAAATACTTTTGAAAATAAGTTCTTAAAGTCTATTTTGCTTAATTTCTTGAAGCATAAAGGGAATGGGGCCCCAAAGAGAGTAGGGAGAGCGTTTTGGGAACATCTGTAACGGTCTTCATTACAATTAAACCTAGTTTTTGTTGGGATGAAAATAACGGAATTCTGTCTCACCTTAATTAAATCTTGTGACATTTCCCTTTTTCAATCATGGTTTAATACATGCAGACGAAGTGGTTTTTCATTTTGACATAGAATTGATAACCAGATATCTTTTAATATATTTTTCTCTAAAATTTTCAACGGTCATCATCATAAGTTTTTTTGTTTTTGTTTTTTTTTTTTTGTTCAATAAGCAAATCATGGTCTAGACATTCTGTAATGCGCTAAAACATGAAGGATTAATTTTTTATAAAGAATGAAGAATTACCCAAACATAATTGAAAATCTTCACATTTTACATTTCATGAAAATGAAATCAAGACTTAACAAAGCATGTACATGTATTTGATGATATTTGAAATGACAATCTTATTATTTCTAATGTTATAAATTATGTCCACATTTTTTAGGCTGCAAGCTAGATATCGTGTTTATCATTGAAAACTACAAAATGCACTACACAAAAAGGTTTATAACGGAGCTGTTGGAGGAGGTACCCGTTTCTTCTGACGGTATTAGGGTAGGTCTCGTAACATACGATTCCACGGCATCAAAAAAGTTTGGACTCTCTGACTACTCGACATCTGAGACTACGATAGGAGGAATAGAAGGGGTGACGGAAATAACAAGATCGGATCATCTTGTATATCAAGGATTAATCGAGGCCCGGGACAACGTTTTCACTTCCGGTGGGGGTGACCGAGAAGACGCTAATAACTACTATTTCTTCATAGTTGGACCATTTGACAGTAATACAGCCCCTATTGCGAGAGACATCAGGAGTAGTGGAAACAATTATATATTTGCTGTTCGTAAGTATTTATTATATTTCATTTTTTTAAAAAAATGCATGAAATAATACATAGAATTGTTTGCAGGCGTGGTACATTGTAGTGAATTTATCTAAAACTTTTTTACAGACGTTGGTGGAACCTACCAAACTGAATATCAAGAGTGCGTTGATTCATGTGGAAACTACACTAGGTACACCGATGTTGATGAATATGACGATCTTCTAACCATTAGACAGCAGATCGTGGCAAATATCACTTCATGTGAAGAAATTAAGGATATAACACAAGGTATTAATTTGCCTTGATTTGCGAATTCATATACCATAAGTTAATCAAGGTTTGCCTATTGCTAAATTGCTAATATTTTCTGTATTCTTTGCAAACTACACCATTAAATCTTTAATAAATTAACATGTACCAAAATATGTTAAGTTACTTTTTTCACATTTTTTCTTATTTGATGAGTAAGTTGACTGCATGTTTAAAACCATACTATGATATGATTCACCACTTATTTTTTTTAAGTTTTAATTCACTATGACACTTTGATATCTTACTTTGAGACATTGAATTACTATAATTCTTCGATGGGCTAATACTTTATTTTGGCACATATATTTACAATGAAATTTAACGCTTGAGGTGTTGCGCAATAAGATATCAAAAAAATACACAATACAAAACAATATTAATAGACCATATTTGAATACTAGTATACAGATTGTATAAGGTATATATACTTAAACAAAACCAAAATACAATTAAACACAGAATAAATGAATTAAAAGCAATTGAAATTTATCCTTAAAAACTTTAACTTTTTGAAAAACTGAAGCTTTGATTAACAGTGACACAAATTTTAATTTACAAAATCTAGCCAAATAAAGACAATTACTGTTCTCAACAGCTATTTTCATAAGTAAAATTTGTATTCCAAAGATATTTCTGGATCTTATTTAGATCGCATGTTTTCACACATTGTTGACCTAAATCAAAGACCTTTTTTTTCTCATCATTTCATATGTTAACTTTGATATTCAGTTTATAGTCTATTTTTTAGCTAAAGTAATACACTAAAATTTGACAATGATATACATTTGAAAAATTCTTCGATTTATTGCGATGTTGACGTATTTAAAACCCTTTTTTTCAGACTGTAAGATCGACATCGTTTTTATTGTTGATGATACGGACACTATCAGCGCATCTAAATTCCAAGAAATGAAAACATTTTTACTCAGTCTTGTCTCAAAAATGGTTATTGGTGATGATGCAATAAGACTTGGGGTTGTATCCTATGCTGACGATGGTGATATCGTATTTCCACTCAATCAGTACACTACTTCTGCTGGATTAAAAGCTGGCATTAGCAATCTCGTCCAAGGAAATACTGCTTATAACAGAACTCGACGTCAAGTGGAAAAAGCCCTCTTATATACCATGTTCAACTTCTTCACCAAAGAGAAGGGTGATCGTGCTGACGCCCAAAATTTCTACGTTGTTCTTACATACGGAGGTTCTTATGGCATGAAGGCCGCACAATATGGTGGAGCATTGCAATACAATTCAATGGTCGACTTATTCATTCTTGGTAATTATTTTACGTCACAGCATTCTTAATTAATCTAAAATTTTCTTATAAAGGATTCAAGTGATTGAATTCATGTTAAAATATGATAGCTAGTATACCGAATGGCAAGTCTGTTATTTTTCTTTAATCCATTCAACGTTGACTCATATTTGTGTTTGGGTATTCCGGTAAATGATACACAGTTATTTAATGTCTGATCAGTCAGTACTCAGTAGACCAGAATATTTTTCCCCAAGGTGCTGGGAACAGCTCAATGTGTTCTTTTGCCCGAGGCCAACGGCTGAGAACACATTAGGCTGTTCTCAGCACCGAAGGAAAAATATTTTGGCCTATTGACTGATCAGACATTAAATAACTGTTTTATTACCTAATATTATAGTGTGCATATGGGTACTGCCGGTCCAAAATTTGCAAACTATTGACTGGCGGTCAATAGATTGTCGGTCCGAAAGTCGCAAACTATGGACCGGTGGTTCAATAGATCACTCTGAAGTTTCTTTATTAGTTCAGAGAAATGAATATACAGAGAAAATAATCCAAAATACTACATAATTAATAAAACAACAAAATCAAGGGGATTAGGTAATAATATGTAATATATCATGTCATAGTATATCTAGATAAATGTGTTGTTCTTTGACTAGTATATTAGCACAGTATATATATATATATATATATATATATATATATATATATATATATATATATATATATATATATATATATATATATATATATATAATCTGCTTTTGCTTGCAATTCGAGGATCGTAAAATACTCTTTATGCAAAGACCCTATAAAATACAGTTTTGAGAATTTTAATATCATAATAATTCATATCTTAAGTATTAATCAAATGAAAAACTTGTCTACAGTAGGATTCTGTAAGTTTAATAACTTTTGTCGAACTTTATTTCTGTGACATATTCTACATTTTCAGGTGCTGATATTCCGTCCAGCTATGATGCAGATTTCCAGGGTGCAGTGATGGAAGGAAGATACATGAAATCCAGTAACTTTATAGACCTTCAGTGTGACAATGAGGTGGTGATCTCCAACATCACTCAGTGTTCGACAGAAAATGCTACTGAAATAATAATACCAAGTAAGTTAATGTTCATCAACACAAACTAAGTCATGATATGTCAGGAAAATCCTGAGTTCATTTAACCCTCAATAATAGAAGACAGTTGGTTGGTCAACAGAGGCTTGAGAAATTAAGATCACTCTCATAAGGTCCAACTTATCTTAGTACAGTACTAAGTCTATATAAACCTGTGTAAAAAGAAATAATCCTTTACCTTATTGAAAGAAGATAAAAAAAATAAATCCTTTTTTCGCCATCTGATATATTGCATGAATATAATTATTTATCAATGTATACGTGTAATACTTATTATGAAACTTTTATATATTGTAGATTGCAAGCTTGATATATTATTCATGCTGGAAGCATCAAGTTCTTCTGCTGGTTCCAACTTTGTTTACCTAAAAAGCTTTTTCGCAAATGTAGCACGTCAACTCAATGTAGCATCAGACGCTATCCGTATCGGTGCCATGACTTACGATTATAAAGGGTACAAGCATTTTGATCTTGATACATACACGACCGCTGATGATGTCAGTAATGCCATAATGAAGATACAAGAAGGTGTAAACCCAATTAACCTAGTAGACAGAGCCCTGGCTTATGCAAGGACTGTTTACTTCACGGAGGACAATGGAGATCGCGCAGACGCAGCAAATTATTATGTTTTCTCAGTAGACGGAATCAGAGCTGGTGCTTCGCTCCAAGGGGCAGTCATTACGGCTGATTGGCCTAACCAGATATATGCTATCGGTAAAAGGAAATCCCTGCTATACATGTATCTTTCATTTTTGCTATTTATTAATTTACATTTTCTTCATCCTGCTCACTAAAATCCTCTTTGAGTGTTTATAAAGATATATTTAATGTCATTCTTGAATTTGACAAATTTACCAGAAAATAATTTACATTTTTTTTCTTCAAGATATTAACAGCAGTTTTTCCAAGGAATACAAAAAAACTGCTGACGATATTAACCGTTACTTCTATGCCTCCTCCTATGAAGATTTACCTTCCATTGAAACTGCAATTATTGAGGCCCTTAGCAAGTGTCCAACTCCACAAATTATCACCACCACTGGTGTATCGCTGAAAAATAAAGGCGTCTGTAAGCACAACCATATAAAATTTATCAGAACAAACACTAGCTTTCTTGATCTTATATTAGAAAAAAATATTGGTAAAATTTATAGTATAAATACAATTTATTTCATATGACTATCTTACTTTGCTTATCATATTCGTAGTATCTTGAATAAACACTAGCTTTCCTGATATATAGGATGTTTTATATCTTAGAAAAACGTATTGGTAAAATAAAAGTATAAATACAATTTATTTTATATGATTGTCGTTTTTCCTTATCATGTTGGCAGAGTCTTAAGTATGCAATTTAAAAATAAAAGGATATGGGAAACATTGACAGTAAATCTTTTTATGTGATGTATTTGTTAACTGTATATTGTGCAACTTGATCATGAAATTCTGTCTTTGAACGTGGTTTCCGACGGAGTATTCGAGATTGAAAATCTTTTCTCAAGTCGAACATTTTATCATAGATACTTTCCCAGAGTTTTTCAATGTTTTTGTAAAAATGGTAAAAATATTAAGTGTTCGCTTTTCTTTTTTCTAGCTGCTCCATGTCTGAACAGTTTGATATATCTTTACCCAGAGGATCTGACCGCATATACGGGAGGATCTAGAGGTACCTATCGCCAAAAATTCTTTTTTAAAATAACTCAATGTAAAATAACGTCTTTTATGTTTATTAATTACGTTTTGTGCTCTTATGTTTTTAGAGTAAATAAATTACGTTTTATTATTAGGAATGATGTACCTGATGACGGATTTTGTATTCAGAATAACATCTTGCTCACGTATAACGTCGTGGGAGTTTTCCTATTCGAGGTCTGGATGGATAGATTTTATGGTGTGGAGACCTTCTGGAAATAACTATAAGCTGGTAGCTTTCAACACAATTTATGTTGAAGGTATTCCTTTTATCTGAATTATGATGTGATTTTCCCATGAAATCTTTTGATGCGAGAGGTGCATTTAACTTCTGAAAAGGAATGAATTACTGTTTGTTCTGTGTGATTTTACTAAATTGGTTCAATATTTCTTATGTTGAAATGAACCACCTGTTAAATAAATGAATTTTTCCCCCCTAAAATTCTTTGGTAAAAATAAGTCTTAGAGATGAAACAATGTTTCACAAAGAGGTGTTTACGCTAACTAAGTTCATCTTCGAGTAATTGGAAATTATTTTGGGAATTATTATTTAGATCAATTATGGATGAATTGCAAAATGATTAAATCTCTTAAAGGCTACAATTATCTTTTTGCTCTTCCTGAAATGAATATATAGTATAATATAATAATAATATATATATGATTTACTTCAAATCTTTCAGTGAATTGTATTTAGTTTATAATTTCTCATCAGATTGTAAACAGCAACTTTTAGAAGATTTTTTTTTAATTTAAGCTTTCGTTTCATTATTGTGCAAACCTCGGGAAATTTGTTTTTATGAACTTAAAAGCATCTACATTTTTATATCTGTCACGTCAAAAGTCCCGATTTCAAAATAAAATTTACCAGGTCATAAC